CCGGTTTGTCGTTTCAGGGCACCAAGATCTCAGTGTCCCCAAACGAGCCTTAAAAAAGTTTTAAAAAACTTCACACAGAACGGGCATTTCTCGGCATGGCGTAGTGAGTATGGGGTTCCCATCGCGTTAGCCAACACAGCTCGAAGTTCCCTTGAAAGGGAATGTCTCAGGTTACATATGTAACCCTGGTTCCCTGAGACAGAACGAGAGCTGCGTTCGCCTGCCATACTTCCTGCATGCCCTGATCGACTTGCTTCAGGCCTTTTCAGAAGCTGTTGCGGTCTGATTTCAAGGGTGCTTTATAGTTTCCTGGTCTATGACGTCAAATGACGTCCGACTCTCTCATTGGACTGATTGTACAGAGGCTTCACGACGCAATCACGCAGAGTGTTCCCATCTTGTTAGCCAACACAGCTCTCGTTCCCTCTCAGGGAACCATACATAACCTGAGAAGTTTTACTTTACAGTAACACTGACTGTACTGTATTAAAAATAATCATCAATATAATATAGGCTAATATATAATATAATAATAATTTTTAATGCAGAACAGCAAAATTATTTGGACACATTTTAGCTAGCTAGACCGGCTGAGAAACCAGTGCAAACCAGCTATCTAGCTTTTCTTTTTTGTCTTCAGCTGAGCCCTTTATCGGAAACAGTTTGGTTTTAGGCCTATTGAAGGATATTTAGGTCATGGTCCCAGACTACAGTACTCTGGTTACATTCTGAAGGGTGACCTCAAACTCCTAATGAGGAAACCGAGATTAGGACACAAACTGGGGTTTACCTCAGCGACAGCAATTTGGCACATGTGCTGTGCCTCAAAGCTCCTATTTCCAAAGTCATAGGCCTATAATATTTAGATAGCTTAGTCTAATCATGTGTTCTGAGCTTCCCATGATGTTGAATGGATGTGACATTTATTTAGAGCGAATAGTCTTAGTCAGTTGTCCTTCATGGATGAATTCCAGTAATGCTTTGACTATTTTGTAACATACTGTAGTTGAACCTTAAAGTGACATGGAATATTTTTAATCTGGTTATTCTGAGTTTCAGTGCCATTACCAATTACTGTCAGTCTTAGAATAAAAAAGTACACGAGCAAGGGCAGAATGTACTAAAGGAGCAGATGGGTTTTGTCATTTACAAGTGTACTTTAGCAAAGGAATGGAACAAAAAAACGACTTGAAATTGCACTTGAAAAACTCATTACTAGCTAACTAAAGGCAGACTTATTCCATGCGTCTGTCACTTCAGAAAACTGAAGTTGAACAATCTGATATTTGAATCAACTCGCTATTACTAGGAATTTGTTTGGACATTTGCCATGTAGGTAACATGGATTTCGTATTCTTGTCAGAATAAATACCATGGCACATTCATTTCTGTACCATATGTCAGATTACCATCTGATAGTACTGCCACAGTACTATATTCTAAGATAATAAAAAAGAATGGTATCATATTTATATACCATTGTATTTACATGTTAAAAAATATGTCCAAACTATGAGATCATGTCCAAAAAACAAAAAAACAAACAAAAAAAAAAAACACTGTGGAACTTTTTTGTAAGTTTTATAATCAATTAAAAAGTAGAATACATTTACTACGATAAAAAATGGAAAAATGGGGCAACTTTTTAATATTTTCCAAATTAGACCAAAATAAAAACATCTGCTTTATCCCTATGACAAAACACGAACTATAAATAATTTCAATCCCTGGGATACACTGCACTCTGTTGGCTATTATTGGTATTAACATTATCTGAAATATTGTGAAGCTACACAGAATGTCCACACAAGTCACGTCAGGTTTTCGTTCTCTTATATAATTTAAACATATGAATAATTCATCACAACGTCAATAACATAAATATTACAAAACTCCTTCAGCCTTCAGTTGGCAGATATTTATATAAAGCATAACAACTCTTGACTTAAGTCAAAATGGAAACAGGAAGTTGCCTTGGCATGACAGGATGTGTTAGCTTTCTCATTACCCTGCCATATTCTCAACTCTCTGTGATGTTCCATTACAAGAATCTAAAGCTCAGATAAAGTTCAGTCCAGACTGGAAGATGACTACCAAACGTGACTTTTTCAACTAAGTCTCTCTACTTTATATAACCCATAAACAATAACTCAACCACAAATACATGTTTACAAATCTGTTTCTTTATAAAATGAAGTTTTGGACACCATCTAAGCATCTGTGGTTCCTGTGATGTGGCTAAACGGATGAAGATCAGTGTTCCCACACCAAAGCCTGGAAAGTCTCAGTCACAAAACCTCTTTTCACGGCTCCAGTTGACAAGAAGTGTAGCCCCAAACCAAAGGCTATTGTCCTTGTATTACATCAGTGACTTCCTCTCCCAAACTCTACTATGACCGCAACCTCCAGACGGCACCTCAACTATTAAGACCCATAATGCCTGACTTCTGTTTTCCATATAATAGGAGTAAACATAAAGACATGCGTCTTTTGAAGAGAAAGAAAAGAAGTGAGATCATACTTCCTCTCCCTTCCACTTTCAGTCTTAGCTTGACGGCTGTGGTACAATTTTCAACACAACTAGCACATCATGCCATTTGGCTAAGCGTCGTCTGAAACAGTAAACAAGTAACAAATCTTACCGCTCTTGAAGAACATCTTGGGAGTTAGGAATGAGAGATTGAGGGAAGGAAACCGTTCTGTGGCATTCTCTAGCACACATTGGCACATTTTTTTGCCGTGTTGGTGTGTGTGAGAGAGCCTGAAGGCCTTAACAAGAGATGTTCCGTGCTGTACCAGGGACTCCCAGGCGCTAACAGTGGGCTTACAGTACCCTGCTGTAACAGAGGATAAAATCTAGAACAATCACATCCCTTCAGCTTCAAATTTAAGGACTGTAAAATACACCCCGACTAGTTCCTGAAGAGTCTGTTTAAATCTATTGCTAATGACTGTCATTTCGGATCCTGATCTTGTACCAGTCTGAATTATGCTACATAAAAGTAACAGTTGTGTCACTTCATTTTCTTACTGAATTTTTATTTATTTATTGCACTTAAGACTTTAATTTAGACCTGTGTAGCAAGCAAAAATATCATTTGGGATAAGAAAACTTGCATTTGTGCCCTTTTTAACCCTTCAGTCAATGCTCCACACCTGTTTGACTTTGATCTGCAGAAAAAAAAAATATATTTAGAAAAATGTGGAGGTCCAAACAACACTTAACCCCATTTAATTTCATTGTATGGACAAAAAACACTGAAACATTCCTCAACATATCTTTTATGTTCCGCAGAAGAAAGAGAGTCACACCGGTTTGGAATTGAGGGTGATTGAATGACGATGATATCAGTCCTGGGTATAACTGATTATATGTAATTGGAATCTGACTACAGTTACTTTTTATTGATTACATAATTACTCACAAAATGGCAGTCAATTATTCATATTTATTGATTTAATGATTGATTTTCTCTAATTCTCCTAAGTTTATCTTTTACAATTTTTATTTTTTTTTTAAAAAAAAGGCCTATTATGTTCGGAAAGTCTTCCAGTTTTGCGGAATTGAACACTCAACAACCGAAGAGGTGCAGTAGCCAAACAAAATACATTTACTTGAGTACTGTACTTAAGTATATCTTGAGTATCTGTACTTTTTTTCTGGAAACTTTTTACTTTAACTTCACTACATTTGAAAGACAAATGTCATACTTTTTACTCCACTACAATTCTGGTAAGGTCATTGAGTAGAAAGAAGTATCATCAGTCGGGATGATTTGGGTTGCATTTTGGTTGGAAATGAAAGTCGGTCAGAACCTGACATCGTATTGATGTCACCATCCAACGTCAGACAGACTTGGAAATGAAAGTTGGGTTGATGTTAGAACCTGACTGATGTTGGTTTCTGACACATCAACCTGATTTTCATTTTCAACGTTGGGATTGAACTTCCAAATGCAAATTTTGTCATTTTGGTGCACACTAGCTTAGATAACAGAGACTAACATATTCATACTAAAAGCCAAAAAACTTAAAATAGGGCGAGGAACAGCCATTTGGGTGTTCTTAAGTGCACTTACTCCTATTTATTTACTGGAAATTACTGAGTGCACTTATTCAATCTCACATTCAATCTGGAACTGTGTTCTAGAAATAAATTTGAAATTGATATGAGGGTAGGCAGGCATAGATTCAGAGGCATAAGGTACTGTATTACAGCAATAATAAAATAATGCATTGACATTTACTCTTTACTTCCGATACTTAAGTCCTTTTAAAAAAAGTACTTTTACTTAAGTAAACAACGGTCTTTACAACTTTTACTTGAAACAGAGTAAAATTTGACCAGTAGTATCTATACTTTCACTCAAGTAAGGAAGTTGTGTAGTCTACTTTGTCCACCTCTGAAAAACAGCCACTAGTAAGGCATTTACACACATAACAAATAAAATATTGTCTAGTAAGAGTTTTATTTAGATTTTTTTAATATTAAAATATTTTCTTTAAATTTATTTTTTTTAAGATTTAATTAATGATTAGCTTTTCATCAATTTATGAACCTCCTGCAGTTCCTTCACAAACCCCAGTTTGAGAAGGCCTGACATATGTAATGCATTTCATATTATTGATTTTTCATTGCATTTTTAAATGAATACAGGATTATTCTAAATCCTATAAATGAGTTGTCAAAAGTAAAGTGATCAGATAAATGACCTAAACTATACAGTATAATGTAACAGATTATATTACTGACAATTTTCACATGTAATAATGTATTCAGTAATGTATAGGACATTCATTTTCTCATTTTGTTTTATACAGAGGAATAATTTTCATTTCCAGATTAACTAAACCTTAAAAGCAAACAAGCAAACAAATTAAATTTAATAATGCAAAAAACAAAAAAACAACAACAGTAAACATAAAATGCATTTGTAATCTAAAATGACCATGCATGTCATTTCATTAAACACTCCAGCTACAAATAAAGTCTCTAAATATTTACAAGAAATAAACATTTATTGCTTAAAAGACAGACAGCATATAAAATGCAATGGTTTTGAATATAATGCCAGGATTTATGAAACACACCTTTAGCTTATAATGAGAGGAACACATTTCGCAGAGCTCTGGACTGAACGCTTTTGCATGTGTTATTTTTAAGGCAGCTTTCACTTTTAATAAAACTACCAGTGTGAATGGGATAAATGTATTACAAAATATACACCACTTCTGAGGAGTTCTACTTTTGACTGCTTTCATTGCATACAATGAAAGTCAATGGGGTCCAAAACAATATTAGACCTCACTGGCTTTCATTTTATGGACCAACAAAACTAAAACAAAAGATCGTTTATTTTTGTGTTCCGCAGTAGAGTGTTAGTCATACAGAGTTGGAACGACATGAGAGTGAGTAAATAACATTTTCGTTTTTGGGTGAACTTTCCCTTTAACTCACAAGACACAGGATGTGGTGACATTTTGAAAATGTACTGTATATGCAAGGTGTTTGTTAGAAAGGCTTTCAAAACCGCAGTGTACTAACCAAAGTCGATTCCACGAGAAGGATGAATGATGCCTACATGAATACAGCACAGTATAGTGACCAGTGTTAGTGATAAACTTGATTTAGGTTAATTAAGAATGTGTCACACAGTGCAATTACTCAATACTGTCTGCAAGGTGTAAATCTTGAGCTCCACTGTTGCTGGAAAACACCCAATGGAACCTGCTGTAGGTATGTGTGTTTATGAGTACATGGGTTGAGATGACAGCAGACATTAGAGGTGAAAGCAGGTCTGCAGTAATAGCAAGAGACAAGCAGTGAGCAGCAGAGCGAGGGAACTTTCACAGTGAATTTCTGAGATATTCACTGTAAAAAATTTCTTGTCAAATTAACAGTAACTTACTGGCAACAATTATCCAGTACTTGCTGTATTTCATTTAACAGTAAAATTACCGTAACACTAACTACAGTACTGTTAAGCATACTGCAAATTAAATAACATTATTTTACTGTAATTTCTTACCATATTAAAGTACAGAATTACACTGTTAATTTTTAATAATACTGTATAGTATGAAATGTTATTGTATTTATTTTATAGTGCTACTGTGTAACCTGTAGAAAATCCGTAGAAATATTATTTTAACTGTTAATGGGAAATAGAAAAAAGAACAATTGAAGCTTTAACTGCACAAGGTTTATTGTGTATTTTCAAACACATTAGTACATTTACATAATATACATTTAAATACATTAATACAATTAAATACATTAATAATAAAAATGTAATATAATACAATAAAAATCATGCATGACAATCATGAACAATTATGCATAAATACATGCAAAAATTATCATGAACAGGTAAAATAGAAAAGATTAAAGGGGTGCTATCTGATCAATCTATTAGAAAGATAGTTCATAACAACTCATCCACCCATTCCCTGCTGGGGTAAAACAGCTTAAACTAGTCTAAGATTGTCTATTGGTTTGAGATAGACTGTCTAACTGGTCAGTTTCTGATTTTAAAGGGTTTTTGGCTGCTTTCTATCTAAGGAACCAGATTTGCAGGGCTGGGAGACACATATAAACTTATAAACTATAAAAGCTTTGACGAGTAAACCACCAATCCAGATGAGTATAACAAAATGACAAGTTATCCAATGTCCTTTAAAAAAAAATAAAAAATAAACACAAAACAACCTCATCATAAACATGTGGCATGAAAAACTTGCATTACGGTATCAATAATTATTTATATGCAGACTTATGTTCTAACTTTTGCAATAGGAAGTTTTCTATCCAAGCTTTTATGCAATTAAACCTTAAACTGTACTGTAACGTTTATTTTCACACAACAATTCTAAACAACTTGCAGATAGACAAAATTCACAGATGGATAAAAATCCGTTTAAAATGTTCTCAGTGGGTCAGTACTGGACCAAGGTATAGTAGTAGTAGTTAGATAAATAGAATAATTAAATTAGATTAGATTTACAATTCATCGGTCGTCAAGATGGATAGGGGTCTTCTTAACATGCACAGCTCACACCTGTGGAAAAGGAGAACAGACAAGACAGTTAAAATATAGTATGTTTTTGTTGTTGTTTTGGCTAAACAGCAAAAACAGACAAAATGATGTCTAAAGTGTAATTCACTTAATACTAAAATCTTGTTTGTTGGACTGTTGTTTAAAATCAATTCAATTACGATCACGTGAAAACGTAGGCTAAATCTTGCTTGTGTGATACTAAGTTACATGACTTAAAAAAATATTGACAAGGCATCGTTCCCTTCAAATGAGTACATGTCAGTTTACACATAGTAAAAAAAAAAAAAAAAAAAAAAAAAAAAAAATTATATTATAGCCGACAATACTGTAGTATATATGCAGTGAATGGTTCCTACCGGAACACCCCCAGGCAGTTTGTGTAGTTGGTATGACCCGGGTTTTTTTTTTTTTGCTGTTGTTGATTCTAAGTTCGCTAGTAAAGTGTTCAACACCAGGCTAACTCCCTCGTGTATGTGTCGTTAATGATAACCAAAGATTAACAAAGACCACAACAAATACTGTAAATGTCACACATAGCTTTGTATTTTGGACAAAAATACACCTTGGGCGCTTTCCGCGGTCCAACTTTATCACTGAGGTAACGTTATAATGGCAGAACGCCAGGTCAGGATTTACACGAAAATAAGCGTGAAAAAATCAATAAGAGGAATCGGCACTTTAATTTTATAACAATAAATCCGAATCCTAACCTTGGATGTCCGATTTCAGGATACATTTATCGATTATCAATTCCTAACCCCTGTAAGTCATAAAATAATGAACGTGCAGGCGCTTCCACCGACTTAACGTGGTAAATAACAAAATGATTAGACCATTTTGACCGTATAAGAGGTTACATATGAAATATATGTTAATAAAATCACATTTAATCAAGTACGGCTATCAACATAAAAGAAATCCGCGTCTGACTTATACAGACGTTATCGAACATTCCGCGGCCACTTCTTTCTAACGGTAATCTGTTAACTCATATGGTTTGCATAAAAATATGAATTACTAACCAGTATGGCGAAAACGTTGCCGACCGACAGCGACGCGATGCACGGCCTGCGTGTTCTTACAGAGGGAAGGGAACTGAAGAGTTCTTCATAAAATGGCAGCTTGTTGTGGTTATTTTTCGCGGTCATTTCGTACTAATGTATTTGAATTTACAGTAACATCCCAAATGGCTACATTGAAGAGTAGCCTATCATATACATATTATATTAAAATGTATATTAAATTGAATATAGAAATCGTGGTCAGCTATTCTAAATAACTTTAAAGTTATTATTAGCTAGAATCCGTTTGCATACACATTATAAGAATTATTACTTACCAGATGAAGAAGTTGCAGGTCGGCAGAAAAGACAGCAGCACCACTGACACGACAGAGAAACTCTTCCAAAGTCAAATATGCTCTCATGCACACCCCACTGACAAATTATGTCATAAATTATGACTGTTAATGGTCAACCAGTGCTACATTTTTATTTTAAATGTAAGAATAACATTAGTAGGCTAGCAATTTTACCCGTGGAACTGTGTGTGGTGTTTTTCGCGGTCAATTGCACTGCTGTATTTAGATTAACAGTAACTGATAATTTCCCAGAATGCATTGCAATTCTACAGTAACATACTGTCAACTGTGTGCACAGTACATAACTGTTGAAAAAACAATTTAATACTGTGAAAACAACTAAATCTACTGTAACTTACTGTACATAGATTATACAGTAAGAAACTGTTGAGAAAAACAGTATAATCCTGTGAAAACAACAGAAATCATTTACAGTGTTCCTACAGGTCACGACAGCAGCAGACGTCTGCTCTAACTTTAGCTCCGGAGGAGAGACGATCATCCCTTGAATCTGACAGAGACAGAGAAAACAACTTGAATCAACCTTTTGAAAATACTGACCACTTGAAAAAACATTGAAACTACTGTTGGACACTACTGTTCAGATTTTTGTGGTCGATAAACATTTATGTTTTTTAAGTCTTTTTTTTTGTTATGCTCACCAAGGTTGAATACTATTTCATTTTGAAATATTATTACAATATAAAATGTTAAAGTTATTTTGATATAATTTAAAATGTAATTTATTCCTGCAATGGCTAGCTGCATTTTCAGTATCATTACTCCAGTTTTTAGTGTCACAGGATCCTTCAGAAATTATTCTAATATGCTGATTTGTGCTCAGGAAACATTTCTTATTAATATCACAGTTGAACAGCATATTTAATGTGCCTTCAGTATAAAACAAAAAATGCTTATTTTGTATTATTCGCAATCCACTTCACTAGGTGTCAGTATACGTCCAAGGGGTTTTACTAGTAGTCACACACTGTAAAAAATACATTTTTATGATTTGTTATCACAACATTTTTTCTTTTGTCAAATCAACTTAAATCATTTATGTAGTTCATATAACTTAATATTTTGAGTTTCTGATGATTAAATCAGTCTCAATTTTTCCATTTCAATGAACTTAAAATTTGAAGGCAACCAGGTTACTTCATTTTTTAAGTTAAATAAACAATATTTTTTTTTTACAGTGCATATACAAAACAATTACTGAGGGTGACTTTAAAATGAATTAATATAAAAGAATACAGTACAGGCCCTGCATAACCAAAATCACTCACCGACCACTCATCCTGGCCGATCTTGGAGCAGCGGACATTCATGGGAAGTTTCCGTACAATGTTGTTGAACGCTTTCCCTCTCTTCCTTGTCCACTTATATTTGTCCATGGCCTCCGTGAAGGAGAGGTTGCTGTATTTCTTAGGACTCTTAATCACAAATGGCCAAGTTCTTCAAAAAAGCAAAAGAGATGATTTTGGTGTAGTACCTTTACTTAATAACATAACCATACTTACAGTAGTTCGATCCACATTTGTTCACCCAAGTCTCTCGAATACATTTTTCCATACAGTTACAAGGAATGGGAACTGGAGCTGTCGCCCAAGAGGATGCCATATTACTTGTCCATATTACTTTTTTGAATTTGAATTTAGATTATAAGCATCTGCTATTTACTGAAGACATCCCTAGCACTCTTGGTGTGTTCATGAGAGAAGTAGTGGTCTGATCTTTTTTTTTTTTAAATGAATCTTTTAATGAAATGATTGCTCTTGCAAAATGGAATGATTTGTTTATATTTTAGACAACCAACCAACATTTCCCCACTAAGTACACACCACTTTTATGATACTTCTCAGGTTGTGTACTAAATTCGTCAGTTTTCATTCAGTGTGGAGTAATTGCATGGAAACAGCAACCAACACAATTCTTTTAAATTTTAAACACTTTATGCTTGGCTTATTAGTCTATAGATATCAATGCAAATATCCTGGTTTATATTCATTTAATTACCTATAATACAACCCCTCTCGCAGTACTGAATTAAAAAAAATGTTTTAGGGTAAAGTGGTACTTAAATAAGGACTGAATATATACAGTAAACATATTAATTTACCCTATTCCCCATTTCATTAATGATGGTTTGAGTGACATAAATGTACTCACTGATGACCGATATCCTCTCAATCAGCTTTATAGGTGTGTGTGTGAGAGAGAGAGAGTGTGTGAGTAGCGATCGAAAGACAGAGGGCGCTTGGGGCAGAGCTTTTGAAACTAAATCTGTTTAAAGTTGCCAGGTCTGTTCCCTTACAATCCCCCCAGTTCCAGCATCTGAGTACAATACTGCTCTGAGCCTCAGGGGGTCGAATAAACACACTCTACCAGCAGGGCCCTTCAGATGTTCCTCATTTTAGACGTACACCCACGTCCATCCAAAACACACATTTGCCTGCTCACACGCAAAATCACAAACAAACATGTGCGGACATAACAAACCACACATCTCTCTCTCCCTACACAAACCAGTGAAAGGAATCTATACAAAACATCAGCAGCTCAGCAGACGCCCACAGAGTCGAAAACAAGCAGCTGCTCTGAGATGTGGACCTCCCTTAAAACTCAAATATTATGTCTTTCGATGTATACCATGGTTGCGATAATATCTCAAAGAGCTAGTTCCACCTATACAATTAGCTAAGAACCACTTATCTTTGTAGATGACTGCTGGAAAGCCACCATGTTTGAATTTGTTTCTAAACCAATGGCTAACACAACAGTGATGTTTTGATGTCCATATACTGTATGATGTGTTTAAAAGAGAAGTCTTGAAGATTATTTATTTTTATCTCAGCAATGAAAATTGCAAACTAGGTTTCATAAGACGTGCAAACTAGATTTGATAACATCTGTCTTTTGGCTCTCTTAGAACGAGACAAACACATTTTACAATGACCATTCCAGATGTTCCAGTTGGTCGGGCAAACAATTTGCACTTTCTGATGGAAGCAAGATGGTATATCTTCTGGTAAAGCTCTTGTGCTGACATGACAGCAAGAACATTTGGATGATAAGTGAAAACATTTATCCTCACTTGATCATCTGACTACCTGGCAGGCCATCAATCAACCGCTGTTAAGCTATTACGTGACACCAGTCTTATGCGAACCAAGTTGTCATTGGGTCTACAATTTCACAGAATTGTCTCAAGTTTGTTCCATTTAAATAAACATTTTGTCCTTGAACTTATTTTCCATTGTTTTTCACCCTGTTTCTCTCTGTTTCATAACCTACTGGGTAACACTTTACTTGAAGGGGTGTGCATAAGACTGACATAACACCTTCATAACCATCACATGACATATGTCTTGAATATGAAGTAAGGTTTATGCATGTTTATGACAACTGTCATTAAGTGTCTTTCGCTTAATAATGACATTTTGAATGCAAATAAGACATTGTTTAAGATGTCTTATTAAGCCAATACATCATAACCTGTCAGTATCTTTGTCATGACAACTTGTCTACTAAACCAGACTAAAGCCAAAAGTATTCACCTTATTTACATAACAGTGGGTTCAAGTACAAGGCTTCTGGTCTCATCCATTATTTTAGCTGTATAGAAACAGTCTGTTCTCCTACTTGATATTGCAAACTGGTAGTCATCATATTATTTTAATTTCTCATTGTCATTATCTCCAGTTGTGCGTCATTTTAATGAGATCTCAGAATTAAATTTCGTTATACAACATATAACGCAGTCACGTAGGGGTGGTAATTTGTAGCGGAGACTTTTGCCGAGGGAAAGTAAATGGATTTTTGACCTAAAATGTCTATAGCCTTTGGGCATGAATGAGGAATATACTCTCAATTGTTTTCTATAAATGTTGTTTTTTATTATGCATTGCAATGTCTAATCGTGTGACGTGTAGGGATATTAAGAATAATATTAAGTATGTTACATGGATTATGATAATAAGTGTTTAAATGACCGCAGGTGTACACTTGGTAACATAACACTGTCGTTATGACTGATAACTGTACTTGTTTAAACTAGTTCCGAGTGTTTCTTTACTCTTTCACACAAGTGCTTGTTAATCTTTTGTAGTTCCGTCTCATCCGTTTCATTTTTAGATTTTTTTTTTCTCCATTTTTAGATACACAACTCTAGTTTAAACAATGTCTATCAGGCACACTATCAAATGGATTATACTTTGATAGGTTATTCAGCTAAGTTAAGTATTCGTGTCAAAACTGAAGCATACTTTAGCCAATGAATTAGACTTTTAAAAGATTCATGTGAGATTCTTGGAGCATGTGAGTATTAGGATCTCTGTCCTGTCAAAGTTGTCAAAAATAACATTACCAAATACCATAAGTAACAATTGGCAATTGCTAAATAAGGCTGGATAGCTAAATGCAAAATGACTGACAGGCAGATAGCACCTTCAGTCTTCTGATTGGCTAAACACAATCTGTCTAGTCTCACCCTGTTCCAGACACATGTCTGTTATTTCAAGATTTTTCATTCAGTCATATCTGTCAGGTAATTTGGATGTTTTTCTTGTGCAGCCTCATACATCAGTGCCATTTACAATAAATGTTATTCATTGGTATGAACTTAATACGTGTATATTTGCCACTAACAAAGAAGCCCTTTTCTAAAGTGTTTTTTCAGACTTACGTAACAGGCTCCTGAATCTCTTTAACCCCAATGAATTTGAGCTGGCCGGTGATTTCTGGTAAACTCTCACACCTGGCTAGGTTAACCCTGGGGTAGTACAGCAGATACGACAAACACATCTCATCGCGTGTACTAAGACCTCCCTGTAGAAAAAAAAAAGACATTCCACATTACTAGGGTCAAGACCTTGAAATATTACACTGACTTAAAGCATCTGAATCATTGTAACAGCCAGAGGCCTGTGGCAAATTATGCCCAGTACTGAGCAAAACTGAACTGACATGCACAGAGCAGCAAATATATCTTGATCTCTCTAATATGAATCCAAAACACCAGTGATTTGGCCCTGATGTTTATGGATTGTGGACTGTCTACAGAGAAAAAGCAGCTCGGCTCAGCCTATCAGCTCTATGGCTTCATGTGTACGGGCAAACGTCAGCAGCTGGATCCATCTCCGCAGACTTGCAGCTGTTTGCAGACACATTGTTTAGCCAAGAGCCTGCTGTTGAGATTCAAAGACGTGTTTCTGATAGAGCTGTTCAGTTTGTAGTCCTAAAGTCTATAGTTTTAGTTTATAGTTGTACAGTTTTTTTTGTTGAATTTTACATTTTAAATTACACATGCACGCACACACACCCCTAATATATATACACTCACCTAAAGGGTTATTAGGAACACCATACTAATACTGTGTTTGACCCCTTTTCGCCTTCAGAACTGCCTTAATTCTATGTGGCATTGATTCAATAAGGTGCTGAAAGCATTCGTTAGAAATGTTGGCCCATATTGATTGGATGTGCATCTCACAAATCTCCATCAACTGCAAGATGCTATCCTGAGGTAGTTGTGTACCATACAACATCTAAAAGGTTGTTCTAAAACTTCTTCTGTGAAACAAATGTACTGTATGCCTCTTTTACGTTCCACAGAAGAAAGAAAGTCCTAACATGAGGGTGAGTAAATGATGACAGCATTTTCATTTTTGGGTGAACTACTGTATGCCTTTACGTTGGTGAACAAAATGATAAAGTTTCAAGTAATATTCCCCACAGACCTTTTAAGTCATACAGTACATCAAGAAATGCTATTTTAAAATCCCATTAGAAATTCCCAAATGAAGCCATGGCAAATTACTGCTCGGGGTGGCCTAAAAATCAGATATCTTGACTAAACAGCTCTATTACAGTATTATTAAGGTTTGCTATTATCCAGGATTAATATAATTCTGTAAAAAAACACTTAATCTTACCCAGGTCATGTTCATTCTGCCTTTAGTGTTGTATCTACACTCAGTGATTAAAGAATCTCCCTGGTGACAGAAAAATAGATTTATGTTAATGCACGGTTGGTAAAAACATTTTCTTCTCTATTATGCTCACTGTTGGGTGTCACCTCTCACCTGTAGGCCCTTTTAAATAGACACCAGTCTTACAGATGCACAATGTGCTCTGTTTACATGTTGAATTTATTATAACAGGTAATACAAAGTGTTTGAAAATGGACACTGGAGCAGATAATTGTAATTGCTCTATTCTTTTCTACTACAATACTACCAATCCCACAGCTATAAACTCTAAATCATGAGAACAGTAAAAATAATTTAGTCTGAGTAAATGTCAAATTTAATTTGACCCAAACGAGACAGTGAGATAAAAGCACAGTACCACAGAACCTATTTTTTTGGTTTTTCCAAAAATGAGTAAAGCAAACTGTGAGGTTCACTGCCTCTGGTATTAATGCAACACATCAATTTCACCCTCAGATGGAGCAATGAAGATTATGAAACTGAATTGGACTGTGACTGACAGGCAGGATGATCCTCTCCTGGCTGAGTGGCTGGAACTCCTGGAAGTTGAAATCAAACTGATCATCTGAGGCAAGTGACTGGAGCTCGACCTGCTGGCGGAAGTGTCTGGTTCTGATAGCCCGTCCTGCCAGGTGAGCATGGAGCAGAACTGCAAACACATGAACTCCACTGGGCATCTCACTGTCTAATGACTTTACAGGAAAAGAGACATGTTATACTTTTTATACATTTTTTTTTTGGGGGGGGGGGGGGGGGTCTGGGTTTTGAAAACATTCAAAAGTTTGGAATCAATGCATTTTTTAAAAAATTATTAAGGAATACATTAAACTGATTAAAAAGGTGACAGTAAAGATTTTTGTAATGATACAAACGATTACTATTTCAAATGTTCTTATTCTAAATATTTAAAGAATTTAGCAAAGAATCTTGAACAATTTATCCCAATTTCTGCAAAAATAATAAGTAGCTGTTTCAACATTGATAATAATAAGAAATGTTACTTGCAGCAAATCAGAATATTAGATTGATTTCTGAAGGATCATGTGACAATGAAGACTGGAGTTCAGCTTTGTCATTACAGGAATAAATGATATTTTAAAATCTTACAATAGAAAACAGTTATTTTAAATTGTAATAATATTTCACAATATTTATATTTTTATTGTATTTTTGACCAAGTAAAGGCAGTATTTTTATTTATATTTTTATTGTATTTTTGACCAAATAAATGCAGTCTTGACAACATCATTTATTTATATAAATAGTCATTTGTAATAATAGAAGTCTTAATGTAATTTAATGCGTCCTGGTGAATAAGAATATTGATCTCTTTCCTTTCAAAAACACTCTTTCATAGTGATTCCAAAAGTCTGAATGGTATCAAATATCATCTCATAGAGTGTCAATGGAGTTTAACCACTATAATTCCTGTGTTTTGCGGTCTCACCTCCTGGAGACACTCCTGTGTGCAGTGTCCTTCTGTAATATAATCCTGCATGCCTGGGGGCAGCATGTGGTAGAGACTGACCCACACTCCTGTCTCTATGACCCCGGCATCATAGCGCCTCAGGCTGGGGCTATAGTACAAACGCAGGCCTGAACTGTCCACTGTCCCTGTGGAGAGACCAAAACTCTGAGCTCAGCTCTTTATGGCTTAACCAACCTGATCTCATGGGAAAACATAACTATGTTACGAGGTGGTGATTTCGTATGAATTTGTGCGACGTGAATCGTACAAAAACTTGATTATTCAAAAAAAGATTAATTGATGAGATTGTGTCGGCTCGACCCTTACAGATAAGTTGATTATTAATTGACTGAAAATCATTGTAGTGTACTATGAAGACTATATTGATTTCATCCACAAATACATAAAATAAAATAACTGACACAAAATGTGAAAGAAAATAACTGTAGGGGAGTGCGGGGCACAACGTAACGCGGGGCTAGTTGATAACACGCTTGTTTTAAATGCTTCCACACATGCTGGCATGATGAAACTTGGTGTATTTACTAGTGGCCATTTCAACACTATATAGAAAAAAAATTGTGCCAAAATTCCAAAATCATCTCTATTTTTTGTGTTTATTTAAAATTAGACTAATCTGATATTATTTTAATCTCCAATCTGTTGTTTAACAGTTGATATCATTCTTTAATGCTTCACTAACTAGCAGATGACACTATCAGGGTTTAAACCCAAGTTGTGCAGTTGGGGTATGTTGTAACATTGCGTTATAATGTGCCCCTATTAGAAATATGCTATTATATTCTATACTTTTATGAATTCTATTGAGAAAACATGAGAAACATGTAAATAAAGACTGAGAGTAAATGTTATTTTGTTTTGAACTATGGTGTATAGCTGTGTTTTCCGATGTTTGTTAATGTCAAACTCAAAAAGTTTTTTATTTTTAATTATTAAAAAAATGACATTATATTATATGAAAAAGTTAATAATTGTATTTTATTAAGAAAACATTTTGGTTTGACTTGTATATTTTTCTGATTAGATGAGATAGCATTTTAAGCTGTCATATGGTGATATTACAATGTGCCCCTCACATGTTACAATGTACCCCACGTATGGGGCATGTTGTCACATTTCACTTCCATTCTTTCAGGGTAAATCAAGAAAAAAGTATACACTGTATTACTAAATCAAAACCACATAATTGTACAAGACATGTGGGAAATTAATGCGGGAAAAAATAAATACTCTAAACTGTAAGTAGATTTACACAAACGGTCAAAAAGCATTACGTTGTGCCCTGCTCTCCCCTAATGTTCTGTAATGTAATGTTTAGTCATGTAATAAGTCACTAAGTGAGGGAGGTTTAGCCTTAAACTGTTAAGGTATGAAATAAACAAGATATAACATACCTCTTTGTAAAGATGGGTTATCAAAGTGAATCTCCATCTGTACATAGACTGGGTCTATTGAGGTTCCTATAGACATTCCAACATGTGGAGGATAGGTGAAGCCCTGCAACATATAAATAATTTTTCATTCAATATCTGAAAGTCTCATGATTCGAATATGAACTTATGAAATGATCACCTCTCCCCCAATAGCCCAGGCAAACAGGACGGTTTCGCAGGTGAAGAAGGAGTCTGGCATATTTGGATGGTAGCATTCATGTCCTCTGTTGATCTCACTCTTGTTCAGATTGCTGTCGCACTGGTAGAGCAGAATGTGATGAACCAGATTCTCATGACCTTTCTGAATCAATGGCTCTATCTGAAAACACCAAACAGAGATAAATAATAGGGTTGTGCGCCACTCAGAATGTAATTGAGAATGCCTTTTGAATTTCATTTCTGTTTTTGAGTTTGAACTGAGGCAGCAAACAAGGTGCAGAATTGTTTGAATTTGAATTTAAGGTATTAAAATGGTGTTCAATTCAAATAGCCATCTCAGCAGTACAGAATAAAAGCACGTATTATTAAGGACTAATGGAGTATAAAATGTATTTATTTGTTTATTATTAGTGCATTTATATCATTATAGGTTGAACCTGAAAATTATATTATAAATTTAAATACATAATATAGCTGAAATGAATATTTATATCAAAATTCCACTTCAACAATCCTGTTACTGGGTGTGGCAAATTCATTTATTTTTATATATTTTAAAACATAATTAATTCATGTGATGGTAAAGCTGAATTTATTTTCAGAATTTTGTAAATCTCACTTTTGATTTAATTAGTCCTTGTGAAAAAAATGAGTAAATCTAAAATAAGACACTTTCCGCTTCACACGCTGTTCAGAGCTTTGATAAAGGGATCAGTCATAAGGATTTTTTTAAAAGTTGGTTATCTTTCTAAACACTATATTTTGATCCTCTACAAGAAAACTGTGTCTGTGTGTGTGTGTATTCTTGAGCTAAAACTAGCTTGGATATCTTTGGAGTAGGAAGTGGGGGATTTTAGAATTATTTTTTCTCCTCACAGTGGGCTTCTTCTGTCGGAACTGGAATTCTAAATAAAAGCATTTCCAACAGAGCGAACTGTGTCCTCTCATCCAGGGGCCTCTGCCTAAAGCAGTGGGACCCAGGGCCAAACAGTGGCTGTATAAATATTCAAACATTCCTTTATTTCCCTTCCACCTCTTCTTTTTTAACAATGGGAAGCTGTTTTGATTTTTGAGACCCCAAAATCTGTTGAACATGTAACATTTTGTAGCATAGTAGTATGCTAACTGATAACAGCACGTCTAATCCATCTAATGTAAACCTATCACAGATTCAGCTCTCACCACCTAACCTATGTTGTCTTTATATTGAACAGCATGATTTCATGTATTGATTTTAATCAAAATGTTACTATGAAAGATGTACTTTTTTGTTTAGGTTACAAAATTGTGTGTTTTGTCATTGAGAACACACTAACGTTGCTTGCAATCATTCAAAAATGTTGCACTAGACCAGGGTATTCTGATAAAATGCTCATCACAGAGGCCAGAAAATGAGCTGGATGACAAACATTTGTGACAATCACAACAAGCACATGCCTAATTTAAATATGGGTGGCCAGTTGTGCTTTTATTCTAAGTAAATCATCTGTAATATGCCTACAAAGTGTGCATGGAATCTGTTAGACTACACAAGCAAATTAACTACGCTTTATTTGGGGTCTTACTGTATAAAGTACACCCTCATCGGGCAGCAAATACAGCATGAGGCTTAGACTGAATAAGGACAGTGACAATATTGCCTGAACATAGACAGTAAGAGCATTAGTGTCTGGAAAAATCTGCTCCTGTTTGACAGTTCAACATCCGCTCTTTGAAACTGAGCAGGAACAGAGCAGACACTGCTGTGGTTATATGGGGCAGCTGGCATCGGACTATTACAGCCTGGAGCTTCACAGACTAGTGCAGAAAGGACAGACAGGGTGAAGAGGGGTCACAATAATTATAATTCACTCGTTGGTTTTAACTGAGTTGATGTTAATGAAAGGTTAATTTGAGGCTAAATGTAATGGACCATTTACATTAAGTGATTTGACAAACTTTATTTTACAGTGTGCTCCAGAAGTATTTCGGGCATTTACAATCGCTTGATTTAGGCCACAACTAAAAGTCTGCATGCCACTGACTAGTGAATGCAAGTGTGCATCTGTCTGTATGTTTCACCATCTTGTAAAACATGGACTACTCAAGTCTTTTCACTGTGTAGTGTCTTTGTATCCATCCCACTACATGCTGAACATTGCAGCAAACTAAATGGCTTACATTCATACTGCGTGCCGCTCACTTCTGCATGTGCAGCGCTTATGTTTTTGTTAAAAAACGTGGAGCTGTAGCCATAGTGATGAATTCATGGAGATGAATGCACGCCTGTCTTTCCACAGCTGAATTTTACATAGGCACGAACTGGTGACTACAGCAGTTAAATTAAATTAAAGGTTGGTGCATCTGAAAAATTAGCCTGAAAGGATGAAGCTTAATTGTAGTAGTTTATCATATGATTAAAGTACCGATTCTGCCTTTAATTAAGTAAAACTTGAAAAGCTTAGTTATTGGAAGACTCTTTCATCTGGGTCAGAGAGTATAATTTCAGTAACGTGTCTGATCTACAAATAGCAGCTGCAAAAGACAATAATAAGCAGGTGAGACATAAAATAGAAGCGAGGGAGACAGAAAGAGATGGAAACCGACTCAGGTGACAACATAGCAAAATAAAACAAACATGCGGAATCTAATTTATGTACAAAATGGTCAAGCTATATATATATATATATAATCCCTTAAGAAACTTCAATGTCAGCTATTGTTTGCTACTTGCAGAGTACCTACTTTTTGAAAACAGAAGCTTGAATGAAGTTTAACAACAAATTACACTAATTATGCTTACCTAGTAGTCTGCCAAACTACAGTAAGTAGCTGTGGTAATGTAATTGTAATATCTAATTGTAATATGAATATAGCTTCATTAAAGCCCATAAATGTAGGTACAGTAGAAGTTAACTGAGGATTGAGGTTTAGGATTTAATTGGCGATATGCAAGCCTATAATTTCCTAAGAATGCATCTCTGTATAGCTATCTCATCTCTGGATTAAAACCTGACTTAAATGAATGCACGTGTTTTAAACATTATGATTTCATTAAGATGGGCATGCTTTACTATTTAAATAATTGTATTACTCACTCTGATTACATGATGTTTCTTCTTCAGCTTTGGAAATCTATAGATCTGACACCAGTATGTTGTATCCTTATGAGGCACAGGAACCTGCAATATTTAAAAATGTTTACAAAAAAACAGTTAAACATAGCAGTTAGATGGCAACAACCAGCAATATATTCCATTGTGGACTGGAGAGTATGGACTTCCAGCTTTTTATTAATCCCATTTCCTGGGGTTTTTCCTATTCAATGCTGAGCATTTTGTTATGAGGTTGTAAATATGTACACTCTTATAAAATCTGGTGTTTGGCAGTATCCCACAGGCATAAAAGGAGCCTTGTTTTCATTGAAAAAACCCAATCAGCGGGCAAAAGGGTCTGTATTTTAAAACGATTCATATGTAACCACAAAACCTTGACATTAAGGACCTTGATTTTTAAGCATGCACAAATAGACAAAACAGTTGGCATAACACCGCCTGAGGCTAAGCCGGTCTATGTCACTCTTCTGTCATACAGTAAGCTCATCAAACGCTCCAGCAGTCTGCTGCACGCACTTCCCTCACCTCCTCGTTCTGAAGGTCAAAGAAAGCTGTTCCTGCTGGGATGCTGGAGCTGCTTCCAGGGTTGAGTAATCGCAGACTCTTTCTGCCTCTGTTCATCCCATGGTAGACTGGTCCTGACACTCCAACGTCCTCCTCATGGAACGCCCAGATCACTCTCACTGTACTGCCCTGCTCAGTGACAAATTATGGGTAATTGTAAGCTTACTGTGTGTGAAATAGGCTTTTTATATAATAAGTTGACAACATTTCAGGGAATTGAGTTTATTTAACTCCTCAATAAAACACCATACTATTGTTTTCCCTTGAACAAAAGGCTATGTGCTGACATTATAATTACAACTGAGAGTGCAAGCTTTGGTTTGGTGCACGCTCCAAAAATTGGATAAAGAGACCCTGACACTAAAAGCAGTTTCTTTTTAGACTTATGGAGCCAGATGTAATGATGTCAAACCTACCGTAATGACTTTGTCATTGTCATCACAGGTCTGAAGGTTTCTGCTGAAAGCCAGGACAGTATGTGTGCCATTCTCTCTGCCGTACAGAAGCTGGTAGCTCTGCTGTGGATCTTTGTGGACCTTTCTGTTCGAGTCTGTAAAGTAGTCCTGAGCAGAGCGAGGAGGAACCATGTTAGTCCATCTCAGGTTTGCATCTTTTAAGTCTGAACCTATTTTAATGGAGTATTGGGATCATGTGAGTAAATCTTTTTGGTTTTGGTCTGCATGCGTTCACGCTTTGATCAAAATGTTTGGTTAGCTGTCCTCGCAAATGTTCTTTTTTTTGTACAATGCATTCAAACAGAACTGCAGCTAAGTTTTGGAACAAAAACAGTCATGACTCATGCTTACTAAACTAAAACTTCAATGTATAGGTATACAAGAGTCTTTAATAAACAATGCTGATGAATAGCCCTGTGCTGAACACTAATCATATCTTGGACTATTCTATACTTCATAGAGTTAGACACAGCTGGGTGGGGATTATAATGTGCAGAATATGGACAGTTGGGGTGGATGTATTCAAATGTTGCCCTGTTTTCATTTGAAAAGGTAGTGTCTGTGCAAGTACTGTCTGATTATTATCCAGGTCACAACAAGGCAGCTGATTATAGTCAGGTCAGTGGGTTACTGTTGATGATCTCATTGCAACAGATTTCAGAACACAAACAAAAAACTATTACAGCAGGTTTAAATGTTCAGACAGTGGTCTTTAATGTTGCTCACACTCTTGAAAAGTATGTCATTTTATAAACCTGATGAAAATAATAAAATAAAAACCTGAGAGAAACTATATAATACAGTTTTTGTGACCACTACCAATACAGATGATCTGGCAATGACATGCAGAACAGATGATTATTTCTGCTTTATTGGCACAAATAATGAATAAAACAATACTACAATAATTAATGATTGCATTATGCATCAACATAAAACACATGCATTATGAATGCGTTATTAATATAATGATTATATTATAAACTAATAATAGTATGCCGCTGTACAGTATGTTGTTTTGTGATATAAATAAGCGCAGATTAATTTTGATCTATGTTTTGGCGTATGTCTATTACTTTTAAGTTTAAAAAGCTCATAACAAATGGCTTTTTGAATTGATGTAAAAAGTATGCAAAGATATGCATTAAATAAGTTAGTTTGCCAGTCATGTTACCAATGCTGTTTCCTATTAAATGCACAGTGCATTATGGGATGGTAAAGCAAATGAAAGTAAAAATAAGATCATTTTTTTACTTTATTTTTTCTTTCATTTTTGCACATCATTGTTGTATAAGTAATATGGATGGGAGCAAATATGTTGTTAATGATTTTTTTTTCCATCACAGATCAATAAACATTTTATTCAAAATACTTAAATCATTTGAGTAACCTGCTTAAAACTGAAATAATAATAATAATCAATCCATCACAACATTTACAGAGGTCAAAATGCAGCAGGCTAATTTTAAACTGTGAGCTGTGTATAATCAGAGATGCATTCACACCCAAAGGTGCGTGAACACACACTTACCAGCAGATAGGAACTTCCGTTGAGCAGCACACCACCTATCACGATATCAGACGAAGACATCGCACCGGTCGGTGACAAACCGAATCCTATATATCCTCTCGTTTCCACTTCTACTTCAAAAGTTATCGTGGACTCGTCAAATCCCCACTTAATGTTGTATCTCCCATCCGCATCTAGGGCAGCTGAATGAACGAACCGTGTCCCCTGTGAGCATGTCGAGCAGAAGAGTGAAGTTAAGAAAACCAGAGCGCAAAGAGGCTGATTTTCAGACATATCGAGCTGAATCACAAACAACACTGACGGCACTCAAGGACGCTTTTTATCCATATGCAGTTTATGGAAATATGCAACTTCCGAGGGCAAGAGTGTTTGTTTGCTTTGGTGCATTGGAGGCGAACGATCCTTTCAAGCGCTGGTAGCCTCCCACCGCTGAACTGTTGGAACTTGTGTGATTTCCCTTTGATGTGGAAAGACATGTAGAGCTGAACACTGTGTGTCTACGGGCGCGCGACGCGACACAAGTCAAGCAGCCGTTATAATCACCGGCGTGATTACAATACACTATTAAACTGAAGTTCAAGTACTGGGTGAGTGTAGAATCACTTGAATACTGGTGACTTTGACCCAAACTCTAGGTTTCAAATAAAATCTTGCTTCGTTTGGCTATTTTTCTCTGTTATGTATCTTCAAATGTAATTATAACAAAAAAGATAACCTAATTAATTTCTTCAGCAGTAAATGAAAAAGGTAGCCTTGAGCCCGTCAACACTTTGGCATACTTCCTTAGTATTTCAAAGCAGTACATCGAATGAATAGGAAATCGGTGTGCAGTGTTGGCTATATTGTAAATATAAAATCATACGAACAATACCTAGATGACCTCTACTGCAGTGGTTCTCAAACAGGGGCCCGGGGCCCA